ACAGGCAGTCCTGGCGAGAGGTTCCCAGGTGAGTCCACAGCCCACTTTACCTTCACACCATTTGCTGCCTGTCGATCACACCGCCACAAAGCCGCTAAAAAGCACAGCGGTGTGTGGACTCCACAAAGCCAACGTGCGGCAGTGAAGGGCACGGCACGCCCAGCACAGCCTGCACACCCACGGGGAAAAGCACAGTGGGGCCACTGGGTCCTGACGGGCCCCTGAAAGGACAACCCCAAAGGAAACGGCGGGTGTCCACTGCAAAGCATGGTGGGCCGGCCTGAGGCCAGTGGCTGAAGCAGGGCGGCTGTCCTCCCCCGGTGGTGACGGGTGCAAGGGACCCGCTTCAAGAAGGTCGGAGGGCTGGAGCCGTGGAGCCCGAGATCCACCGCAGCCGAGCCGGCAGGGACCCGTGTTGTGGGGACACAGCCAGCAGCACAGCACAGGGACAACAGACAGGAAGGAGAGGGACCCAATGCAAGGAGGGCAGGGCCAGAGCCGGGAGAGTGCTGGGAGCCAGCTGCCACATTTTTAGCATTTTTCAAGATTCAACAGGGCAGAGAGCTCTGTGGAGTGAGAAAAACGACCTGAACTAAATGTTTAGGAAAATGAGTGACAGGAAAGTGTCGATCCCACGCAGAGCTATTCTCAGAAAAAAGAAAAGGAAAATAAAAGCCTGCTGACAGCGAGAGCACTCCAGACAGACACCACACAGGTCCAAATGTGCGGCTTCAAAGCCTCAAACGACGAGATCCAAGATGGGAGGGTGGCAAATTAGTGCTAGAAAACACCAGAAATAAGGTGACAGAGCTCAAGAAAACTAGAAAGACAAGTACTTTCAGAAATGAGAATCGAGAGCAAATGAAGACAGTAAGTAATGCCTTCAGAGACAGGACGTCACCAGGAGGACAACTTTTAAGAAAACAAAGGAAACTTAAAACATAAATGAGATTCAAGAAAAAGAGGAAAAGACCATGGATGGCTAAACCAGATGTTCCCATACACAGAACAAGGTCCCCCACCCCCAAAGAAAACCAAGAAAAACAGAACTCTAAGCCACAATTCAAGGCAAGCTTCCCGAAGTAGCAGATTTGGACATATACGCGCCAAGAGCTCACCCTATTCCTGCAAATTCTGACCGCGGGCAACCGACGCGGGACACAGTCTGACACAGTAAGGACTGGAGAGACAAGAACAAGAAACTCACGCCTTGGACATCTAGGCAAAGAGCACATGACTTGTAAGAAGGAACGTAGGACTCGTTAGACTTTTCATGCTGGAAGAAAACAAAATCGGTAGTTTAGACACTCGAGGAAAGAAAATGTGAGCCAAGGGTTTCTATCCTGCCGCTTTCAGGCATAAAGCAAACAAAGTTCAACGTGGGGAGCTCAGGGAATTTGGTTTCCAAGAGGACACTGACCGAACACTGGTCGTGTGGCCATGAGATGCACAGGAGGAAAACCAGAGGAGGGCAAGAGGGGGAGATCTTATCAAGTAATGGCCGGCAATGTACACCCGGCACTGTTTTCACTATAATACACGTTAGTGTTCGTATCCACACACTGCATGTTCAAGTGGAAAAAAGCAAGCTGGTAATTAAGGAATATCTATCCCAGGATCCTCAGTGTAGAAGGAGACACAGACATAATATAGAAGAGTTAAGTACTCTGAAATCCTGAGTTTCTATTGAGAACATCAACATGAACTCAAATATTTTATCTTTAAAATATGTGTATGTGCATGTTTTAGAATTCTGTTCCCTGAAAAGACCTAGAGGCAAAGACCAACCCCACAGCAATGAGCACCTGAAATACCTTTTTTGCCAGGGGCAACCAGCTGTCTCAGTCAGCAAAGCAGGCAACTCGTGATCTTGGGGTCATGAGTTCAAGCCCCATATTGGGTATGGACATTCCTTACCTTGAAAGAAAGGAAGGGAGGGAGGGAGAGAGGGAGAAAGAAAGGAGGGAGGGAAAGAGGGAGAGAAAGAGAAAAAAGAGAGGAAGGGAGGGAAAGAAGGAGAGAAAGAAAGAGAGGGAGGGAGGAAGGGAGGAAGAGAGAAAGAGAGAGAGAGAGAGAGAGAGAGAAAGAGAGGAAGGGAGGGAAAGAAAGAGAGGGGAGGGGAGGGGAAATTCTTAGAGGAACAGCCAATTCCAGATCTGGAGGAGGAAATGTACAGATGGGTCTTGAGTCCCCACACAGCAGACAGCATTGGAGCAGATGACTGGGGGCACATACATGCGTGGTGTGTGTGTGAGCATGCCAGGGCACGTGGACTGTGCACGAGTGTGCCTGTGGTCTATACGTGTAAACGGGTGTGGTCAGTGCATATGTGTGTACACACGAATATCCAAAGAAATCAAGAGCCAACCGGAAGAACCTCCCTCCTACAGGCCAAAGAAGCTACCATGTGGGTTCAATAAAGATAAAAACCGCAATGACCTGAAACCTATCAAGCAGGCATAAGTACACAAGCTCACGACACACGTTATGAAAATATATAAATAAAAAACCTTGATCGGTCGCCCTCTAGACGACAGACCAATCATCTTTGCATGTCTGCTGACTTCCCTAAATGAACGCCACCACGGCATAACCAGATAGGCGACAGGAAGCATCTTCTGAAACCACTCCAGCCGATAACTATGGGCAACATCCCAGAGTGTCACCACTTTGGAGCCCGAACGACGAGTGGATCCGGACACTGAGCACCGGCAGCTGCCAAATCAAGAAGACGACCGCAGCCTGCAGCTGCAAGTGACTGCACGCGACCATCTACCGTTTGCTGAACATGTGGAACCCGATCCTGATCAAGCCTCTGGGTCCCGCTGCCAACTTGCAGGAAATTCAGAAGACAAAAGAAAATGCCAGACTGTGCCGGTAGAGTGTATATGGAGAAATCTAGACCGTGGGAAACGACAGGACAAGTGGCCCAGGTTCCTCAACGGGTAAACCTTGTGAGGATCCCAATAAATGGCAGGGGAACCTGTAAATTAAAGAAACTTAAGAAATCTCAAGTTAAAAAAAAAAGTACACAAGGCCGAATTACCATAAAGAAACACAAGCAAGTCATTTCTATAAAAGTCAGGATTAATTTTGGAGGGAGGGAGGGGCTGTGATTGGAGAACGCGGAGAGCCTTTCTGGGGTGTCCAGCCAAGTTCTAGTTCTCGCCTGGGAATTAACCTTACAGTAATAATTCAAGAAGCTATACATTTGTGTCATTTTCTGTATGTTTTTATGATAAAACAAAGTAGTAAACAAATAAAGGTAAAAGTAAACAATTATATCAAACTTTAACTTGCACAGTGCTTTTAAGAAAAACAGCCAAAGTGGGGCGCCTGGATGGCTCAGTCGGTGAAGCATCCAACTTTGGCTCAGGTCATGATCTCACGGCTTGTGGGTTGGAGCCCCGCGTCGGGCTCTGTGCTGACAGCTCAGAGCCTGGAGCCTCCTTCGGATTCTGTGTCTCCCTCTCTCTGCCCCTTCCCCAGCTCACAGTCTGTCTCTCAAAAATAAACAAACGTTAAAAAAAATTAAAACAAAACAAAAAACAGCCAAAGAAATTTTAAAAGGTTTATTTATGCATTTTGCTGTGTGAGTAACTGCTCTTATCAGTGGTCAAGCAGCCAGGACTACGGATGTGCAGGCCTGCCTTGCGCACAGGTGCCCGGGCAGGTAAGACCCAGTCCGCTCTCTCTGCACCGAGGTGTGGGCCCAGCCCTGACTTGCTCTACTCCACAGAGAGGTACAAGTCAACCAGAATATTCTGAGACTGAATCCTGCCAACTGTAAGGTAAATAAACACTTTTAGAATACTTCCAGACTTCCTGTCTGCATTTTAAAACCACTGCTGTATTCATGCCTTATTAAATCAAGTCCTAAAATTTCTGTCCAGATGGTCATAAAACTAATGAGAACAGTGTCCAACCCAATAAAGCATAATGCTGAAATCTCAAATAATGCTCAAATCTCAAATTTGTTCAATGTATTATACATGTAACCACAGGGAATCACAGAATGACCTCCTAATGTACTTTCTGATTTATTTTTCACACCAGTGAGGAAAGGTAAGAAAAGAGTCACTCACGGAAGGTTTTCCAAGAATTAAAATCACTTCGTTCAGTCTTCAGATTGCTTAGCTCCTTCTCTTGCTAATCTGTCAGCTTCTTCATTGCCTATAAATCCCGAATGACCAGGAACATGCATCTGTTAAATAAATTTTGTTTCTTTTATCTTCACTGGTTTTTTATATAATAAGCAATACACGAGTACACCCTTACTGTAAAAAACGCAACTGTTCCCAGTGGCCAGAGTGGGACAGGACTCACCCCCCCACCCTGACACAGTTCGACAGCACAGCCTGCCTGCCCAGGGCGCCTGTGCAATGCAGGCACTCGCAACAATCCCATTCTCATTCTCCACAAACTTGATTTTCCTGTTTGTATTGCTTTCTTTCCCCACTGAGTGATGGAACTGGGAGGGCTTTCCCGGCAAAACACATGTATGTACAGACACACAAATATGTATCCAATGCACGTACTTTATTGTCTTTAAATGCTGTCCGAAAGAAGGGATGTACGTATATAACCACTGTTCATATCTAAATGGCTGACAGGCAAATTTAAACCCCAGTTCACCAAACTGCTCCCAGTAGTCCTGGGGAGGGACGACAGGGGAGGGTTCAGACAATGCTTGTTGTTCAACGTGCTCTGTATTGCTTGAACAGATAAGTTTTAAAAAAACTATTTATTATAATGTTTATTTTTTTATTTTTATTTTTATTTTTTATTTTTGAGA